CCTGTTCTGCATGTTCTGACTATGTTCCAGTGCTTGTCATTCTGTATTTCTGTTGTGTAGGATAGTTGTTAGCCTGGGTCCCCTTGCTGAGCCTTCGGGTCCCCTCTATGCTGTCACTGACAGAATAGGTTCTGAGAGGGTAAGAAGTATATAGTTAGTAAAGGTCTCTTAAATAAAGGTTTATACATATTAAGCTAGGTCTGCTTGTAACTACTAATCTGGTAGGACAGTAGGGGTGGTAGTTAGTGTGGGAGAGTCTATGTTTACACTATAAAGGAATCAACACTAAACTAAAAGGGGTAATGAATAGAAGAAGGGTAGTAAAAGTTTAAAATTTAAAAATGTAAAAGGGTTAGGACAAAGAAAAGAGATTGACACAATAGTAAGTACTAATGCCTGAAATGTAGGAGAGTTGTAGGGTGGTAATAAGTAGTCTTAATCTAATGTTAGTGACAGTATAAAGGGGACCTAAAGGCTCAGTAAGAGGACCTAGGCTACAACTATCTTACACAACAGAAATACAGAACACAAGTACTAGAACATAGTCAGAGCTTGTAGAACAGACAGAGAGAGAGAGTGAGACAAGAGTAGAGTATATAGAGTGAGCCTAAGAGTACAGGACTACCTGGAGTAAACAAGATTAAGACTATACAACTAGTCTGATCTTATACACTTATATATACTAAACTATACAAGAGTACTCAGAGGATATAAGTTATAAGAATGATGAGCCACAAAGAATGAAAGAAAGGAAGATCAAAGATAAAGGTACAAAGAATGAAGGGATGGACAAAGGGTAAGAGACTATAGAATGAACAAAGAATGAAAGAGTAGTTAAAGAAACAGAATGATAAAGTAAGGAGGGGTAGTAGTAAGAGTCAGCACACATATAGTCTATAGACAGCACCCCTGAGGGACAGAAGTCCTGAGTTCTGGTACAGAAGGGTGCAGAACCCTCAGAACCAAGGGTGCAAGAGCAGAGAACTATAACACAAATTACAGTTTTTACAATTATATAACTATTATAAAGAGAAAGTACAAGTATTGTCAAGCCTTTCAGTTTAAAATATTTTGACAGTAAGGTTATATAGTTTTGAACTGATACTAATTATATACTAGAATAAGTGATTTGTTTCATTGTTTTGAATGGATGAGAAGTAATTTAAACTGAGTAAATACTTATTTATATATTTGAAAGAAAAAAGGTGTTTCAAGGATACACACTCAAATTCAATTCAAAGTTCATAAAACTTGGTATTAATGCACTTAACAGTAGTATCTATAAGCTAGTATTTTTTTTGTTTCAGGAAAAAATGTGTGATAATGGAATAAAATACAAATTTGAATGGGCTGTCTCAAGAGCGGATGACAATTCAGATTATGTAAGTATCACATGAGCGATTGTCGTTCTGACGAGGTGAACCACACATCGCTTTCTCATCCACCATGTCGTCTACAGCAAGTGATAACCGTCATCCCTATATTGTCTACGTGCCACGCAGTAAGAATTCCGTGCCTTGTCCCATTTACGTTCCGGAGAACGCATTCATCAAAACCTTGGAAGAGGCAATTTGTAAAGAGCGGGTTTTCGAAGATGACCTACAGGGGCAATACCCGATCCTCCTCAAAGTACTTTCTCATCCGTCTTCTAGTCTGCCATTGTGCTGATAATTGGTGTTCTTCTTTAGTGTGGTAACCTGAAGATGCTCCCACGCCAGTCACTTTATGAAAGTGCTTTGGAGTGGCTTCGCCAACGTACGGGTGATGGGGAAGATGATAAGCTTATGATGCCTGCAATGCGTCTGCACGACTATTTCCCTGACGGACCTACGCCAGAGGATGAAAGAATGATAGACGTTGTTGTCGTGACTAATTCCAGTATGTATTCTGTTCTCTACCCAATACTATATCCAACCGACTTCTCCCTAGTTTGGGGCAGTTTGAATTATACTGCTCTCAGTTCATCTGACTCGCTCAATCGGTTCTGTAAAGAAATCACGTTTTTAGTTCCGCGTGGTGATGGTGAACCGGATTGGCAGGTTGTGGTTAACCTGAATAACTATCTCGGTCAACCGTCGTATCCTCAATTTGTCGAGAATGTAGTTCAAAGACCGAGGCAGGCAGCAGACGACGGTAATAGTAGGGCCTCTGCAAAAATGGTTGTATCCTGTTTGAAGGCATACCTTCTCAATTGCTGATTATTTCGGTGGTCTGTACAGGGCCTCCGGAATATGCTTGATGCAATCACACCTGAAGGCAACAATTCGGAGATTTTCTCTAAGCTCTTGAGTGACGAAGACGGAGCGTCCCCGTATGCGCAGTCGCATCCTGAGATCACCCATATATTCATGCTCTTTCCTTAACAAATTGCTGGCGATCGAGTTCAGTTCGTCTACACTGACGGCAGAAAC